GTCTCTCATCTGAAATGTTTTGAATGTTGCAGAATTTTTTTTTTTTTTTATTGGTACTGGGGATTGAACCCAGGGATGCTTAACCACTGAACCACATCCATTCCCCCGCCCTTGTAATTTTTAATTTTGAGACAAGGTCTCACTCAGTTGCTTAGGGCCTCACTAAGTTGCTGAGATTGACCCTGAACTTGTGATCCTCCTGCCTCAGCCTCCAGAGTCTCTGGGATTACAAGTGTGCACCACCATGCCCTCAGGAATGTTGCAATAATCTACTTGAGTGCTTCTGTTCTCTCTGCAGTTTACTTTCCACAGAGCAAATTATCCTCCTAAAATGTAAATCTTATCATTCCTTACTTCTTTTCTTTTTTAAACAAATATTTTTATGTGTTATTGATGGGTCTGCCTCACATGGTAGGCAAGTGCTCTACCACTGAGCCACAACCCCAGCCCTCCTTGCTTCTTTTCAAAACTCTCCTATAGCTTCTTATATCAAAGTAAAAGCTTATGTCCAGATAGTGGCCTGCAAGGTTATATAGCAGTACTTCCCAACCTGACCACCACGAAGAAGCCGTTTTATTTAAGTTTTCATTTCCAGTTTGAGGTGGATCAATACTTTAAAAGGGTATGATAAAGATGAGTTATTAGGGAACTTCCACTCTGGTTGTGGTGAAGTAACTGTTATTAAATTACAGCTTTCCCAGTATGAACTACAACTGGTCTAAATATAAGAAACAGTTGTTTTCAGAAAGTAGATAGTAAGTGCTACAGGACTGATCCCTGAGGGAAGAAGCAGTGAAGATAGCCCTGTGTTTGCTCTGGCATCCTGCCCAGAGGCATTTGTCCATAGTGCAGTGGATACTAGCAGAGCAGGGCACTCTTCTGAGATGTGGAGATAGAAGTCAGACTTCAAGAAAGCTGGAATTTCCCAGGCAGAATACCAGAGGGGAGGAAGCCATGCAGAGAAAGAGCTCTATAAATATGCATGGAGGTTCCCTTGAATCTTTCTGAAAACTAAGCTGTATTTGTATAGAATGAGACTTTCTAAGACCTTGGAAAGAACAAATCCTGAAAATCTGAAAATGGAACAGGTAATTACCTGAGACACACAAATATTTGAGTTCCGACCAGTCAAAGTAGAGAAGAAAGACGACATTGAAAACTGAACATTACTCTGTAAAAGCCATCAGGAAGGCCACTCCTTAGGAGCAGGGTGAAAATTGTCCTTGATAAAGGCCACTCTAGATCTGTGCTGATGAAGCTTCAAACAAGCCTCAAAATTAACTGCCTGGTGGGGTGTGGTGGCAGATGCCTGTAATCCCAGTGGCTGGAGAGGCTGAAAGGAGAATCCTGAGTTCAAAGCCAGCCTCAACAACAGCAAGGTGCTAAGCAACTCTGTGAGACCCTGTCTCTAAATAAAATAGAGGGCTGGGGATGTGGCTCAGTAGCCAAGTGCCCCTGAGTTCAGTCCCCAGTACCAAAAAAAAAAAAAAAAAAAAAATCTGCCAGATTCTTTAGAGGAAGGCAACAAAATCCAGACATTTATAATATAAATTTATCATTTCCATGATTCAGTAAGGGAAAAAAAAGTTTAGAAGACACAGGAAAAGGCAGGAAAATATGAGCTCTATCCAGGAGAAAAATCAGTCAAGAGAAACAGAGTTAGAAATAATTTATGGTGCAATTAGCATGCATGGATTTTCAAACAGTACTGGTAAATATCAAGAATATAAAGAAAAATATGGATATAATGAGCAAAATGGAAGAAATAAGAAAGAACCAAATGTAATTAAAACTTTCTTAATATATTTTCTACTTTGATTCAAAAAAAATTTAAACAAGAATAATGGAATGCCTAGGGTTGAAAGGGCAATGCTTGAATTGAAAAAGTCAGTGGCTGGCTGGACTTAACAGAAGATCAGAAATCATAGGAGAATAGTTCACTGAAGTTAAAGACAGGGAGATACAACTATCCAAAATGAAGCACAAAGAAGAGAATTCCTGAAAAATGAACAGAGGCTCAGTTACCTGTGGGACAATGTCAAGCAAAAAAACTATAAATCTACAGATTTATAGGCTCAACAACAATAGAAAAGCTCAATAAATTTAAGCAGGCTAAATAGAGACAGCAATCATACCAACCAAGACAGTCAGAATAAAATTGCTGAACAGTAAGTAATGAGAAAGAGAACATATTAAAGGCAGCTAGAGGGGAAAAAAGACATGTTGTATACAGAAAAAAAACCAAGAATATTGATAACAACTCACTAAAAACAACGCAGGCCAGAAGAAAATGGAATGGTACTTTGAAAGTCCTAAGATAAATCATTTATTTTTCTTCTTTCTAAATACACATTTCCTAGCTTTAGCCACTGAAAGGGCCTAAAAGTAGTGACAAACCAGAAATACTGAGCACCCTAATATGGTCTCTAAATACTCATTCCCAGTAAAGGAAACCACAAGTCCTTGGAAAAGTGGTTGATTTCAAGTCTGGGACAGGATATATACAAGACAAAATGGGTGTATCTTATTACAAAAAGCAAGGAAACGAATAAGTTCTAATTGGTGTGTCAGAGAACTCAGAAGCTTCTGCCCCACTTGCCAAAAGTAGGACAGTCTTAGTATCGAAAACTGAGCCAGGCACACTGTTATGTGTCTGTAATCTCAGCCACTTGGGAGGCTAAAGTAAGAGGATCACTTGAGTTGAACTTATCACTGGGGTCCGTGAATTCAAGTTTGGTCTGGGCAATGTAGCAAAACGTCATCTAAAATAATAACAATTGAAATTGATTGGAACACCTATATGAATTCATAATGATACTAAGAAAATTCCTAGGTAGCCATTAGAGGTTGCTATGGCACTAACTCATTATTCTGAATTTTATTAAATAATGGAAAAATCAGCCTTTGTTTTACAATCTTTCTTAAATGAACAGTATTTTAAGATTAAAAAATAGGAAAATAATAATTGCAGAAGGGATGATAATATTAGAAAAATCAACATTTTGCCACACTGCCCCCCTAAAAAAATGGTGAATCTAGGTAAGAATCATTAGTATATGTTAAAGTACCATTAGGTTAAAAATTAAAAGAAGGACTTCATAATGGAGAGAGACGACCAATAACATCTGAGTCCACTCATCAGTGTCTGTATTCCATTCCATTATATGCCTTCTTTTTAGTTTATGAGTACAACATACACAGACTTAAGCCACTTCTCATGAACAAAACAAGCAAAAAATGTAATCAAGTATCTAGATCTAAACACGGGATAGAGAAATAAGTTATAATGTCTTACAACTTGCACAGGAAACAGTCAAATCCAGAATGTAGTGTATTCTACGAGGTATTCTGGTTTCTTCACAACAGATGTCATAAAATAAACAAGGAAAAGATGGAACCATTATGGACTAAAGACAGAACTATATCCATCAAATATAAGCTTATCAACCAAATGCAAAGTGGGAACCTTGCTTGGATCTTGATTTTAACAGGAAAGGGACACTTTTAGGGTTTGAAGAGATTTTTCAAAATAGCTGATATATTAAAACACTTTTGCCAAATTTCGTAAGAGTGGTGATAATGTTGGTCATGTAAAATGTTTTCACTGATAGATATATAAGCTCAAGGATTCCCAAGTGAAATAATTGCCTTGGATTTGCTATAGCCACCTTTCCTGCACCAAAGTTAAAAGAAGAAAGAATAGATTACACAAGATTGATGAAATGTTGATATTTGTTCATGTTTGTTGATGGGTACCTGAGAGGCAGTCCTTAGATTATTGTATTTTATGCAAATTTTAGCATTTCTATAATAAATTTTTTAAAAAACATGCCATATAGCAGCACAATTCACAATAGCTAAATTTTGGAACCAACCTAAGTGTTCTTCAGTAGACGAATGGATAAAAAAAAATGTGGTAAAAATACATAATGGAGTATTACTCAGCATTAAAAGATAATAGAATCATGGAATTTGCAGGTAAATGGATGGAGCTGGAGAATATAATGCTGAGTGAAGTTAGTGTGAGTATACTTTGTATACATGCAGAGATATGAAAAATTCATTTGTTTTGCCACAGTAGTTTTTAGGGTAAGGGGCATGGAGGATTATAGTACATGTAACTATTATTCCAAAAAACAAATGCCGAGTTTTTCTCTGATATAAAGAGGCTGACTTATAGTGGGGTTGGGAGGGGGAGCATGGGAGGAATAGACTAACTCTAGTTAGGGAAAAGGGGTTGGAGGGGAAGGGAAGAGGCATGGGTTAGAAATGATGGTGGAATGAGATGGACATCATTATCCAAAGTATATATATGAAGACACAAATGATATGAATATACTTTGTATACAACTAGAGATATGAAAAATGGCCTCTATATGTGTAATATGAATTGTAACGCATTCTGCTCTCATATATAACAAATTAGAATAAAAAAATCTAAAAAAAAGAGCATGTGCTTAAGAACCTATCTCTAAGAGAGAGTCTCACAGAGATGTCTTATAATTGGATACAATTCCAGTGAGTTTGGTTCAAGTACAAGTTTTATGGGAGAAAATAGACTGAAGCTAAAGGAGGTATTCTGACAAATAATATTTAGATAGCAGTGTGCATTAACATTGAAAATTCTTAAGGGTAGACAAAAGCTATAAAAGCAAAACGTTCAGAAATCACTTAGTAATGCGAAATAGATTCATTCTGCTCAGTAGTCCTGCCAGAGGGCCTCCCATTGCAAAGCCCAGAACCTTGACAGAGCTGAGAGCACAGTTCCTCAAGGACTGTGTTGTCAGTTGGCCAACATTATCTCCTAAAAGGTTGTCGTGTTAAAGGACTGGGATGGAGTCCAGATCGCCTAATACCTTATCGCATTATGCATTGTGGTTTTTTATTGTTTTCCTTATCATGATTTATTTTTCCTATTTTTAAGTTTGCTCATTTTAATCCATGTTCATTTTTCCTTCTGTGTTTGTCACACTTGCTGTCCTTGCCTTCATCGTTCCCAGGTTTCAGTATAGCCAGGATATGCCCAGCTCGCTGGCCGATGAGCATGCGCTGATAGCCTCCTATGTGGCCCGTCTGCAGCACTGTGCACGGTTAGTGGTAGAGCAGCAGCACCAGGCGGGTGGCCAGGGCTGATTGGAGGGAGTGAGAGCTGGGTTACCTGGGGTTGCCAGCCGGAAAAGCTCTGCACGTGGGGTGCTCTTGAAAACTTGCCATATGTGGTTGCTGAAGCATTGGCTTCCACAAGAGAAGGAGCCTTGCCAAGCCCAGCATTTACCTAAACGTGGAGTTATAAAGTCTTCCCAGAAGTAGGGTTTAACCCCTTCAGATTGCACTTGAAGAGTGCATAAAACCTCCTAGAGATCTACAGTTCCAGATATCGTTCACAGAAGTATTTCATGAATTCTCTCCTTCTAAATAATGAAATCTTCCTATTGACAGTCGAAGGTGAAGGCCAATCAATCTCACTTTGTCTAATATGGATGCTTTGATACTATCACCCTGTTTCATCTGTAGCATGTTGGCATAATCTGTCATTCTCGATTCTTTAAACCACTGGTGTTCAACAGTGGTATTGGATCATTGTCACCTAAGAGGCTTCTTAAGAACTCTCTATATACCTCCTCATATTATAATAGTTACATGTACTATAATCCTCCATGCCCCTTACCCTAAAAACTACTGTGGCAAAACAAATAAATTTTTCATATCTCTGGATGTATGCAAAGTATACTCACACCAATTCATGTCTTCATACATGTAGTTTGGATAATAATGATCATCACATTCCGCCATCATTTCTAACCCCATGTCCCACCCCCCTTGCCCTTCAACCCCTCTTCCCTATCTAGAGTTCTGATTTACTGTTACTATGGGAATGTGACTGATCCCTCAGTGGGTTGAGATGGAAAAATATTAGGTAACCACTAACTATGGCAAAGTTAATCCCTTAAAAAAAAAAAGTTAATACCAAACAAAGCACTTTTCATTCAGGTAGAACCACAGCCTCCTGTCTACTCCATGCCGACACCATTCCCCAAGGATGATGACAGGTGAAATTTAAATAACTTAAAGCCACCCCTTCCCTCTACATAGCAGCAAAGAGGAGTATGATGCCAAAGAACTTGTAAAGCCTTGCTTTGAGAAGCCTATTATAAGAGAAAATCATAATATATAAACTATACATATAAAAGGTAGAACATTAAATTTGATCCAAGTTTTTCCCATAGCATGCATGTCTCCTTGGGAAGGTCCTTTGACCTCACTCATCATCCCCCATTCTAATTAGTGGGGGAAACGTACACTTGAAAAGGACTGTTTTTACTGTGGTGTGCCACACTATTTCCCATGAGTTTTTTTGTTTTTTTTTTTTGTATGACTAAGAAACATTGTGATTTGGGGGCATTTTCCTCTCTCAAAAGCCATAGAAGATCTAGGATCCTCTGGAGTCCCAGGTGGGTCCAAAGGGCCTCATTCTGTGGAAGGGGAAGTAAGGCTGATAAGTGTACGTTGCATCACAGAGAACATCTTCTTGTCCAACACCTGATTTCTGTGCACTCATTCCAGCCTCTTGGTTTCTGGAAATTGAGATGTTTTACCCCAGGCAGGAAAAATTACTTTTTATCAGTAAGGGCAGTTGTCCCGGATGCTTAAAGATGCCACAGTAAAATGGCAACAGGATGTTGGCAGAGACTGCTGCCTGATATTTCAGCCCACAAAGGTTTGTGGTGGGTTTTGCCAAAGTGTTCAAGTCCCGTGGCGTAGGTCCTAGACTCCCTGAGCAAGAAATGGTGGCCTGTGGTCCTGGGAGAGCATGCTGAGTAGTGAAGGCTGCATCTCTTCTTGGTTTATAGTCTGAGGAACTGAGCCTCATAGTTCATTGAAGAAGTCAGGCATTTCCTGGCTAATTCTGAAAATGTAAGTCAAACAGAAGAGTAAGGAACCTTTGTAATTACCATCAAATAATTTTCATTGACCTTAAAACTTCTCATTAGCTGAGTGGTACATACCTGTAATCCCAGCAACATGGGAGGCTAAGACAGGAGGATCAGAAGTTCAAGGCCAGTCTCAGCAAATTAGCAAGGCCCTCAGTAACTTAGTGGGATGCTGTCTCAAAATAAAAAATAAAAAGGGCTGGGGATAAAGACAGACTTTTAAAAAGGGGGTTGGGGACCACCTCTCGGTTCGATTCCCAGTAACAACAACACTAAAATATTCTCATTAACACACAGTTCTAGTTTCTGTCTAGAAAACATAGCCAATTAAAGCAGTCTTATCATCCATGCTAGTGTGTAAATGGCATGTAAGATTAGCCTTCCTACAGAGACGGAGTGTGATAGAGGAAAAGGAGCTTCTGTGCCAGAGAGCCTTGCCATATTACAGAGGTCCCACTCTTAGGTTGCCGTTCCCTCTGTAATGTCATTTCACTTGTTTTGTTAATCATTCATTTTTGTTTTTTAATTAAAAGATACAGTTTTTGCTGGGCATGGTGATGTAAACCCATAATCCCAGCCACTCAGGAGGCTGAGGCTATAGGATCCCAAGTTCAAGGCCAGCCTTGGCAACTTAGTAAGACCCTTTTTCAAAATAAAATTTTTTTTAAAAAAGTGAGGGCTGAGGATGTAGCCCAGTGGGAGAGCACTGCTGAGTTCATTCCACAATATTGCAATAAATCAATAAATAAAACACACAGCTCTCTTGTTTCTGACAAAACACCTTTAAGGCACAAATATGGTAGTTCAACTCAGACTATGGGGTCTTGACCCTGAAATATTACAGCCAACTGAGTAACGTGAACATTCACACACCTAAAACTTGATAAAACATTGATAGGGGTTATAGCCAGAAGACTTAAAGCATGTTTAAAAAAAAAAAAATCTATCCTAGAGGAAAGACTAAGTTAAGGTTAAATTGGCCACAGAAATAGAAACATAGGAAGTTTTGTTTTGTTTTGTTTTAATAGAAAAAAATGCAGTTGCTTCTATGCAAGAAAAAGTCAGGGCTCCCTTTATTGATTTAACCTGGACCTTCCCAGCATCCCCACAGTCATCGTAACAAGGTTGGGGGAGTGTTGAACTCATATCTTTAAATTCTTAAATATTACTTGTCATGCCACCAAATTCTGATCAAGAGGTTTGGAAACTTCATGAAACTAGGGCCAAAGTAGAGACAAGCCACAGCAACCTTCACTGGTCAGTCATCATTGTCACTTTTGTCCTAAAGCTTCTTCCAGTCTTAAAGATAATTATGTGGATACAGTTCCTGTTTGTTTATTTATTTTTTTTTTATTTGGAGACAGGGTTTAGTTAAATTGCTGAGGCTGGCCTTGTACTTTGGATCCTCCTGCCTCAACTTTCCAAGTTGCTGGGATTACAGGTGTGTACCACCATGCCTGACAGAGTCCCTGTTACTCTAGGACTGGGCTGGTATGAGTAAACAACAGCTTACTAAAATAAAAAAGTCAACCATTTACATAGGACTAACCTACTCAAGAACGCTTCTTTCATTTAGTTGCCTACACTAAGGGCTAAAGTTGTAGAATAAGCATAGTAAAATAAGAGAGAGGTATTAAAAGGGAATGTTGAATACCATGGAATCTTCTCCGGCTTTATAGTAGTTTGGTTGGCTCCAGCCAGGGTTCCCCACTTTTGCTCAGCCATGTCAAGTATACTTTTTCTCAGTTCTTTCTTTTTTCATGATATTCTAGTTTTCTCTTGGTCTTTTTGAATTCAAGATCTAGGTCTAAAAAGTCATGGATTTTTCCCAACATTTGGTTAGAAATCCCTAACTCAGAACTTGTGAGTACCCTGTTTTAGCCCTTCATTCAAAAAGAAGTGCCCCTTTGCTGGTGCGGGAGAGTTTGGTGTGTGCTGGGGAAGAGTAACACATGCAGCTTCACATCTCTGAGTCCCCTTTTGTCTCAGGAGACCATTATTGCCTTCGATCCAGGCCTGCATTTCTTTTGTTATTATTCTGAATTATAAGCTTTTCTCCTGTGTCTTCTTTTTAAGGATGGAACAACAGTTGGGAGTGCTTAACAGACACCTGTTGAATTTTTATCTCCTTGGCAGTGTCCTGGAAAGTCCTAGCCGGCTGGACGAGGAGCACCGACTCATAGCCCGCTATGCTGCCCGACTGGCTGCAGAAGCAGGAAACACGGTGAGTAGTTTCTACCACCCAGCAGTGTGGTAGAAATTAGCATTGATTAATGTACACATTGTGTAGGGGAATGTAAACGAGAAACAAGAGGGAAATTACCCCAGGGACAGAAGCAGGGAGGATGTTTCGGGAGAGATTGAAGAAACCTGTAATGTCATCTACAGTGTTCTCTTTCTTTAAAAAAAAGGAACCACGAAGAGAAAATCAAAGTTGAGTTCTTTAAAAAGATCAATAAACTCAACAATACTGATTAAGCAAAAACACAAATGACCAGTCTCAGAATGAAAGAAGGATTGTCACTACAGATCTTACACTAAAATGGTGATCAAGAAAATTATGAACAACTTTTGCCAATAAAATTGACAACTTACGTGAAATAGACAAACTTCTTAAAAGACAGACAAAACCAAATAGCTCTGTCTGTTAAAGAAATTGAATTTATTTATTTATTTATTTATTTTAGAGATTTTTTTTTTAGAGAGAGAGAATTTTTTTTTTAATATTTATTTTTTAGTTTTCGTTGGACACAACATCTTTGTTTGTATGTGGTGCTGAGGATCGAACCGGGCCGCATGCATGCCAAGCGAGCACGCTATCGCTTGAGCCACATCCCCAGCCCAAGAAATTGAATTTATAATTAACTTTCCACCAAGAAAATCCCCAGCCCTGATGGCTTAACTGTGCACTGCTATCATGCTAAAAGAAGAAATAAGATTAGCTTAGTGCATCCTCTGTCTGAAGGCAGGAAGGAAGACTTTCCAGGTCATTCTGTCAGGCCACTGATACCAAAACAATGTAAGGCCATTACAAGAAAAGAAAACTGCTGACTAAATTCTCTTATAAACACAGTGCAAAAAATCATTAACAAAATATTAGCAAATTGAATTAGGAAGGTGTATAAAGGATAATACTCCATGATCAAGTGAGATTCATCCTAGGAATGCAAATTTATATTGAGCCTGGCCCACTGAAGCATCGTTTCCTTGGAGAAGGAATGGTATAAAAGATAGCTTTATGCCAGCACAGAGATGAGAAAATCTAAATTTCCTCTTGCAAAGTATTGGCAATTAGTTTTTCTACAGCAATAATAGAACAATTTCTTTATAAAAGAAAAGAAGACTTATTTTACTTTTTTGTTTGTTTGTTTTGGTACTGAGGATTGAACCCAGGAGCACCTAACCACTGAGCCACATCCCCAGCCCTTTTTTATTTTTTATTTTGAGACAGAGTCTTACTGAGTTGCTTAGGGCTTCACTAAGTTCCTGAGGCTGGCCTCAAACTTGCAATTCTCCTGCCTTAGCCTCCCAAGATGCTGGATTATAGGCCTGCACCACCACAACTGGCCAAAAACCCTTATTTTCAAATAAAATATCTGATTACATCCAGTGCTGCTGCAAGATGTTTGTGATAAAACTTTTACGAATTTTCTCCACGAATAAAAGACCATTGAATATCTTGAACATACTGAAAGAAATAAGCTTAGCTGTCAACATGAGAAATAAATGCTTTCTGACAAGGACTGGAAAGGTCACCGTAACATGCTAAAAGAATAGTACAAATAGTTAACACTTATTGAATATTTATTATGTGCCAGTCATTATTCTCAGTGTTTTGCATATGTCTTAGCTAATTTATTATTCAGAATAATCTTGTGAGGAAACTAAGCCTGAGAGAGATAAAGAAACTTCCCCTGTTGCGTAGTTTTATTTTTTTATTATTATTTTTTTTTAGAGAGAGTGAGAGAGGAGAGAGAATTTTTAAATTTTTTTTTTTTAGTTCTCGGCGGACACAACATCTTTGTTGGTATGTGGTGCTGAGGATCGAACCTGGGCCGCACGCATGCCAGGCGAGTGCGATACCGCTTGAGCCACATCCTCAGCCCCCATGTTGTGTAGTTTTAAATGGTAATCCAGGAGGAAGGGAATTAAACCTAGAAGCAAAGAAGGAGATGATAGGAGGGACGATCTGAAACCCAAACCACAGACTTTCTAAGTGTTAACCAGGTGAAGGGGATAGAATATGGCCCAGTGGAGTGTTTAAACGAATTAAGTCCTGAAGTTTGAGGCTGCAGGACCAGAGTGCAGGAACAGCACTGGAATGAAGCCAGGCAGGACAGGCAGGACAGCTCACCCAGGAGCAGGTCATACAAACACAGTCTATCAGGTATAGCAAGACGTGCCACTTTATGCTTTCATAGGAAAATAGAGTTGCAAAAGCTGCAGATGGAAATTCTTGATTTGTTTCTCCCCAAGGAAGTAATTTCAAAATTTCCTCTTCTAAAGATTTCCAAATCCTCTTCCCAAGAAGCTAGAAACATGTTGCATGTCTGACTCTAAACATGAAAGGTTAGTGAAACAGAACTAAATAGAAAAAAGTCTGGGGAAAAAGAAAAGTACAGTGAGGTAAGTTAAACCTTACACCTGTCTTCAGTCATTCCCAACCACTAGTTTAGAAATTAAAAATATATAGATAAATTTGTTGAGATGGGCTGCACCGATTGGATTTTAATATTTTAGTATGTGTAATGCCATTAAATAGCCTTGTTGACCTCACATAGTGCTTTTAAAATGTTGTAAATAAAAACTGCAAAGCTGTTTGACCCTGAGATCCCTGTACTCCTTAACTTTGAACCAAGATAAGGCTGTTTACACCTGGTAGTTCCTGATACCAGTTCTCTAATTCTTGTGAAATGGTTGTTAGGATGGGGAGGGTGAGCACTGCCTCTGGTGCCTTTCGCCCTGTGTTTGTTTTGCCATGTGCAGTGATCTCACAAGTACTGGGCCTCTCAGGAAGGATTCCTCCTGACTGGATTTCTGTTAAACAGAAGACTCCTAATCCTCTAATCTCAACAACTATACAAGTGCTTTGCATAAAGTGGGTGTACTGCTCAAAAGAATTTATTTATAGCCTGCCAGATAAGCTTTGTATTGATTTTTTTCAAAGACCTTCTTCTACAAAGAGAGCCAGTTAGATCATTTGAGCAGCCAGCAAAGCACCCTGTAGAGTGCCTCCCTATCAGCCCAGGGACTTCTCCCCAAACGCCCAACACGCCCACTCAGGCTGACCGACCCTTGAAGAAAGACATTTTAGGCTGCTTAGATGAACCAGGAGAGCTCATTTTTCTTTTTTCTCAAATACTAAATTCCTTTTTAACTAAGTTGGAAAACAAAACAAAAAACTGTAATGTGGCGACTGGGGTTACAGCTTAGCAGAAGAGCATGTGTGAGGCACTGGGTTCAATCCCCATCACCACATAAAAATAAATAAAATAAAGATATTGTGTCCATCTTTAAAAAAAACTGTAATGTGCAATAAATCATAGTAATAACAGCAGATTCTCCAAGTTTCATCACAAAGGTCACCAGAGTTAGATTTAAATCATATATTTTGTTTACCTTGGGGCTGGGGATATAGCTCAGTTGGTAGAGTGCTTGCCTTGCATGCATAAGGCCCTGAGTTCAATCCTCAGCACCACTGGATTACAACCCCCTTTTTGGAAAGTGTTAATTAAAACTCACTGTGGGAAATTTAGGAGGAAATTGACAGGAAGGATAAACCATCACCCATTGTCATACTCCCTCACATTTAAAACTTTTATTTATTCTTCTTTCATTCATTCATTCATTTATTTTTGGTACCAAAGATTGAACCCAGGGGCACTTTACCACTGAGCTACATCCCCAGCCCATTTTATTTCATTTATTTATTATTTTGTGGTGCTGGGGATTAAACACAGGCCCTTGTGCATGCAAGGCAGGGACTCTACCAACTGAACTATATCCCCAGCCCTATTTTTTAATTTTTTTTAAATTTTTTGATACAGGTTCTTGCTAAATTGCTTAGAGCCTTGCCAAATGTTGAGACTGGCCTAGAACTTGTGATCCTCGTGCTTTAGCCTCCCAAACTACTGGGATTACAGGCATGCACTACCACACCCTGCTCATTTAAAACATCTGTGCTAGGCTTTTCCGGTATCCCAGCCTTCATAGCCCCACTATCTGAGCTGCTGCAGGCACATACCATCTTGGGAACATCCTCATGGCTTCTTAGAATTAGAGATTAACAGTATCCATGCAGTGTTTTGCACACATTTTAAAAATAGGCATTGTCAACCCTGGCTACATATTACATTTATATATGAAACATTTAATAAATATAGAGATCCTTGGCTTTGCCTCACACTTACTGAATGAGAACCTCTAGGATTAGGGCTCATCAATCTTTATTGAAAAGAAGGAAGAAGAGTCAAGTTCCAGTCTTCTGATTAACAGTTAGCTGTAACCACTGTCTTAAACAACATTATTGGGTTTTTGAGAGCTATTAATAATCCGCAGCCCTTCAGTTAGTCTCTGTGAGTTTGGATGGTGGGCAGACTGCCGTGCAGTGTAAAAACAATCTAAGAGGTTTCTTTAGGACTCATCCTGACAGTTTCATAAAGATGAGAGCCTTTGTCTCTTTTAGGAGTCTGCAGAAATGCACACCACTGGATTACAACTTGCCGGATCACCAGGTTACAGGGGCTCTACCAAAAGGACCATACCTAGTCCTAGTCACCTCCCAAAGGTCCCATGAACAGTTTCCACCCCTTCAGCACCTCAGTTTGGGGATGAAATTTCAACTTAGGAAGCATGGGGATGTTCACACCTTGCAGCCTGGCTTGTTTACATTTTCACTGATTAAAATAAGCCCTTGTTAGATCCTGAAAATGGGGTAAGGGATTTCTCCCTATTGGTGCACACAGATGGAGGAGCCCAGCCCTACACCTTGTTTTTTCATATTTTTTAGTAGTAGTACTTTCTGGAGGCAAAGAATGTACCTAGTTAGCAATCTCTCTAGATAATGACTTGATTCCCACGCCAACCCTCCATTGTGGAAGACACCTCAGCTTCACTGTGGGACACTCAGAACTGGAAGGGTTCTTTAGTCATTTGTTGTTGTCTTATAAGAAACAAATTCCTTTAGCGCTGACTTCCTCAACTATATGTACCCTGTAACTCTTGTTTTCAGAAATTATAATAAGAAAGAAAGAAGAAAGAGGAGGGAGGGAGGAAGGAAATTGCAACCCTATTATTTATTGCTAGATTCAGTCTCAAAACAAGGCATTTTCCTGAGGGTCAGCATGGGCTGTCACAAGATTGATTACAATATGGAAAATTTACTCAGCTGGCTGCTGGTCCATGTTTCTTTGGAAGAAGAAGGATCATCTTTTAAAAAAGAAAATTCTTTTGTAATTTGGTCAAAATTCTCCCACCCAGATTTGCTCTGCTGTTTTGGTGTGTATTTAGAAAACACAGTATGAAAAGAGTTACTTATTAAATCCTTTAACTCTAGGTAGGAACAAGGTAACAAGGTTTCTGCTGCTGTAGGCCATGCTTCAGGCAGAGCCAAGAGTGGGAGTGAGGCCTGGCCACCACAGGGCTCAGTGAGGGCATCTGCTCAGTAAAAGGGAAACCTCACGTCCTTGTCCCTTTTCCCCTTTCTTGATAATTGGCTACTGTATTCTCCAAGACTGTAACAAGGGTCAGAAACATCAGTCAATATGCAAATTAAACCCACATGAGTTCTCCAAAGCAGATACACAGATGGCTAATAAGCACAAAAAAAAAGTATGCTCAGGCTATACTCATTAAGGAAATGCAGAGCGACTCCATAGACCTACTCCACACCCATAGGGTGACTAGTCAAAACGGTAGACAGTACCCCCTGTTGGCAAGGATTTTGAAAAAAATGGAAATGTCATACACTGCTGGTGAGAATAAACAATGTGGCCAGTTTGGAAAACAGTTTGGCAGTTTCCCAAAAGGCAATTACCATATGACCAGCAATTCCACTCCTCTATATTACTCAAGAAAAAGAAAACTTCATTTGTACACAGATATTCATAGCAGCATTGTTCAAAACAGCCAAAAAGAGGAAACAACTCAAAAGTTCATCAGCTGTTGAATAGATAAAACATCTATATTTTACTTATATTATTCAGCCATGGAAAGTAATGAAGTGAAACTGGGAGTGTCGCTCAGTGGTAGCACTTGCCTAGATGTGTGTGGCACTGGGTTCTATCCCTAGCAATGCATTAAAAACAAATAAATAAAGGTATTGTGTCCATCTTCAACTAAAAAAATATTTTAAAAAAAAGAAGAAAAGGAATAAAGTACTGATACATGGTAGAACATGGATGAACCTTGAAAATGTCTGTTAAATGAAAGAAGCCAGATATATACAAAATAATTAGAATAAATAAATCCAAAGAGACAGAAAGCAGAATGGTGTCTGTTGGGAACGGGAGGAATAGGGAATGGCTACTAACTAGCACAGAGTTTCTTTTGGGGACTTAGGTTTGTGAAACGGTTTTACACACTTTAAAAGAGTAGATTTTGTAGAATGTAAATTGTATCTCAGTTTAAAAAAAAAAAAAACTCACAATTGGGAATTTCACATCCACTAGGATGATTAAAAGCAAAAGGACGATACCAAGTGTTGGTACAGGTGAGAGAAATTGGAACCCCCAATCATTATCATTGGGACTGTACCATAATGCATCCTCTTTGGAAAACAGTTGACAGTTCTCAAATATTTTTAAGTATACCATTACCTTATAACTCAGTGGGGCTGGTGATATAGCTCAGTTGGTAGAGTGCTTGCCTCGCATGCACAAGGCCCTAGGTTCAATCCCCAGCACCACAAAAAAAAAAGAGACATATACCTCAGCAATTCACAACAATGCATTTATTCAAGAGAAATGGAAACATTGACATAGAGTTGTAAATGAAAGCTCATATAGCTTCCTTTGTAATAGCCAAAGCTGGAAACAGTGGAATACTACTCAGAAACAAAAAGAATAAAAAAGAAGGAACTACTGGTTCATGAAGCAATACAGATGAACTTCAAAAACCCCATGTTAGCTAGACACAGTGGCACATGCTTGTGATCCCAACAACTTGGGAGGCTGAGGCAGGAGGATCCCAACTTCAAGACCAGCCTCAGCAACTTAGCTGACACCCTGTCTCAAAACAAAAATAAAAAGTGCTGAGGAGGTGGCTCAGTGGTAAAGAACCCTGGGTTCAAACCCTGCCCAACACCCTCCTCCACCAAATAAAAAAGGAAAGAAACAAACATGTTATTGGTTAAAGAAGGATGCCTGGCACTGCCAGTGAGGAAACATCTAGTTCCTCTAGGGCACCCCAGCTATAGGTCACTTTTGCTAAAATATGGTATCTCTTAGATAGGAAAATGCAGCCCCCTGGTAAACGTGCTGCTACAATAAAACTTAAAGGATGGGGCTGGTGATATAGCTCAGTTGACAGAGTGCTTGCCTTTCATGCACAAATCCCTGGGTTCAATCCCTAGCATCCCCCACCCCCCAAAAAATGAGTAGAAAACTTCAAGAATTACATAAATCTATGTACCAGTAACTGATGCTCACAGTTTTTCCAAGGTATTTCCACAGAACAGGCATTACCGTTGCATGGAAGTTATGGTGTCTTTAAGCCAGTTCATCTCGTACCAGCAGCATATACCCCATTATTCTTTGTCTTTAGTAACAGTTGATATTTTCATTCTTTTTAACTACTCTAATAGATGTGAAATGCCATTTGTGGTTTTAATTTACATTTTCCTGATTATGAATAATGGCTGAGAATAGTTTCTCATCTGTGAAATGTCTGAGTATATCTTTTACCCATTTTTCTACCAGGTTATTTGTCCTTCACATTTTTCTTACTTTTATTATAAAAGTTATAAAACATTCAAAAAGGCTCAAAGAGTAGTATGGTGAATTTTTTCATACTTTCAGCCTAAATTACATGATTGTTAATATTTTACCATGTTTTTTACTTGACCACTTCAATATAAGTTGCATATGTCCTAATTATATCTCCTGAATACTTCAGCATACATTGCCTAAGAATAGAGATATTTTCCTGTGTATTCAAAATGTCATTGACACACCTAAGAAAAATAAGCAATAATTTAATCATTTTAAAAAACTCATGTTGGGGCTGGGGTTGTAGCTCTGTGGTAGAGTGTTTGCCTAGCACATGTGAGGCACTGGGGTTCAATCCTCAGCACCACATAAAAATAAATAAAGGTATAGGGGGAAAAAAGCTCATGTTAAGTGAAAACCAGAATTAAAACCTACATGTTGTATGATTCCATTTATATGAATTTTCTAGAAAAGGCAAAACGAGCCAGAAAGCCCATCAGTGGCTGCCTGTGGTTGGGGTGGGAGTGGTGGTTGAAGACTACCATGAAGGAATATTTTGTGGTGATGGAAAATGTTCTAAAACTGGACTGTGGTTGTTGGCTGCAAAACCATTTGAATTTACTAAGATTCATTGAATTGTATACTTAAAATGGGTGGATTTTATGGAATGTAAATTATGGTAGAGTGTTTGCCTAGCACGTGCAAGACACTGGGTTCTATCCTCAGCACCACATTAAAATAAAGGTATTGTGTCCAACTACAACTAAAAAATAATTAAAAAAAAAAAAAAAAACAGTTTCTAAGAAATCAAGTCAGTCTCAGACCCTAGGTACATTTGAATCAGGAAAAAACAACTCTCTACCTCCTCTAGACTCGTCCTCCTGCTGATGTGAGCTTTAACTTTGATGCCAACAAACAGCAGAGACAACTTATTGCAGAACTGGAAAACAAGAACAGGTAAGATGCATAAATCAAGCCCATTTCTCAAGTCCAGGATTAGCACATGTGTATCTGGTTCTCATCTTCCTCACAGATTAGATGGCTTCTGACCACACAGGAAGATCCCACCCCAGTGCACAGAGGCTGGCTGAAGCCCAGGGAATGCCCTGGACCCTGGTGTACATCTGCATGCTGTTGATTCTGGCTGTGCAAAGTGCTTCTCTCCTGTGCTCCCTGAATTCTTTCTCCGGATCCCCTGCAGCACCAGTGTGACCCCTTCCTGGATTCCTTTCTCCACTCTGCTTCCCTGCAGCATTTTGCTCTGTGTGGTCATCTTGTCCTGGCCCATTGCACTGCATGTGACTGGTCTCTGGGTTAGGAAAAACACTTCAAAGGCATAAAGACCTGACAGCAGGCTACTGTGCACTGACTGGTAGAAACCAGGGCAGAGACTGGACCTAGAGTCAAATGCATGGCTTCAGGAGAGAAGGGTCAGGGGCTGGAGACCTGAAAACCTTCATAGGGACCTGCATGAGAGGTTGCAAGGAGTCTTTTTCCTTCCCCCAGGGAGGAGCAGGGTAAATAAAGCATTCTGGTTGTCATTTCCCTTCCCTGGAGATTTTGCAAGTTATTGGGAAGAGTGTTTTTCTGACTTTTCCATCCACAAAGAATTGTTTCATTGAGGAATTGTCAGGTGAAAGAGCATTGAGGAGGAGTCTGTTTCACATTTTGGTCATGTGGAAGCAATCAGAATAAGACATTGTAAGGGTTAAAAGTTCTAACAGGAAAAAGTGAAGGAGAGCTGAGACGCACCAGGCAGCTGTCTTTCTTTCGTCCTCCTCTCTAGAGAGATCCTGCAAGAGATCCAGCGTCTCCGTCTGGAGCACGAGCAGGCTTCCCAGCCCACTCCTGAGAAGGCCCAGCAGAACCCCACGTTGCTGGCTGAGCTGCGGTTGCTGAGGTAGGTAGTGAGACTGCTCTTTTGTCCCCACGCTATAATCTACAGTGCCAGGAACTGCCAAGTCTCAGCTAGGCTAATACAACAGTTTTGTTCCCGGTGGATTCTTCCTCTTAATGCAGGCAAAGGAAAGACGAGCTGGAGCAGAGGATGTCGGCACTACAGGAAAGCAGGCGGGAGCTCATGGTCCAGCTGGAGGGGCTGATGAAGCTGCTGAAGGTAAGCAGAGGGGCCTCTCTGGGCTTCTCCTCCTACCAGTGTTCGGCTTCACCTCCCACCACAGTCTCAGCTGCGACCGCCCTTGGTGTCAGAATAGCATGGAGGCTGAAAGGCTTGGCTGCCAGACCTGGAATCAGTGTTCAAGCAAATCTCCACAAATTAGGTATAAAAGTTATCAAAATTGGTACAAAGCCTGATTATAAAATGTTAATAACTGGAGCGGCCGGCCATTTTGATCAATGTATATAAATCCAGGAACTGCCAATTCTCAGCTAGGTTAATACAACAGAGTTTTGTTCCCGGTGGAGAAATCAGAAATTATAATCCTAGCTGCTTGGGAGGCTGAGATGAGCATGTCAAGTGAGAGGCCCGCCTGGACAACTTACTAAGTCTCAAATTCAACCTTTCTCAAAATAAAAAATGAATAAAAAGTCTGAAGGTGTGATTCCATGGTGGAGCTCTTGCAGAGCATGCATGAGGCCCCGGGTTTAATCCCCAGCACTATAAAAGAAAAAGAAAAAAGGCTGGGGTTGTGGCTCAGTGGTAGAGCACTTCCTTGCATCTGTGAGGCACTGGGTTTGATTCTCAGCACCACATATAAATAAATGAATAAAATAAAGGTTCATCAACAATGAAAATAATTTAGTAACTGGAAATAGGGTAATATTCTTGAATAGTTGTTTTTATAAACAAATAAGGATGTTTATAAATAGGGTATTAGCTGTGTATAAAGGAATATTTCTCAACTGAAGTTTCTTTTAAGATAATTTTTCAGATATTCCACCTAAATCCTTAATGAATGTCATGTCCGATTTAATAAGTAGTATAAGTAGTATGGAAGCAAACTGTATCAGTGATTTTAGAGCAACAAAACCAACAGGAAATAAAGACTTATAGAAGAGGGGGTTTATTATAGGAGTTGGCTCACTCAGTTGTGGAGGCAGAGAAGTCCCATGATATGCTCTCTGTGTACACAGTGGTATATCCAGCATGGGTCCCAAGGCCTAAGAACCAGGGGATATGATGGTGTAGCCCCCAGACTAGGGAGCGTGTTGGAGGAGTGGGTATTAGATCACTGGCCTAAGTCCTGGTGTCCTAAGGCCTGAGAATCAGAGGAGCTCCTGTGTCCAAGGGCAGGAAGAGATGGATGCCCCAGTTCCAGAAGAGAGAGCAAGTTTGCCTTTCCTCTTTTTTTTTCCCTAACCCCAAATCCCAAATTTCTTTCTAACTTTTGTCTTATAATTTCAGCAAAACAAACAGGACCCTGCCACCCCATCTTATAGGATCCCCTACCAGATTTAAATGCCTTATCATTTACCTACCTGACAGGGCTGAGGCCACTCAGACTAGATGAATTTGTAAACACAAGCCTAGAAACGTTGTCTTTTTATCCATGGAACACAGTTCACAGTTGAAAATCTGATGTCTTTAGTAATGTGCAGATTCCTGAAGGAATTACAGCACAATCTTAATTTGTGTATTATATACATTCCCAAAAGGTCATATATAGAAGTCAGTGGCTTCTATTAAAATCTCAAAGATGTTTTCCTACTATTAAAAAAATTATACCAACCCATAATAAAAACACCCTTTGGACTCCTAATTTTAATTTCAAATGACTGTCCTCCTTTCATTGATGTTCAGTCTGTTAGTATTTAATTCGCTCATAAAACAGCTGTAAGCAGTTAGTCAAATGGACAGTTAAGCCACATGGTCTGAGAGGCTCATAAATTAACATACGTACATCACACAGTGAATTTCCATTTCACAGGCAGTTCTTTCACTCCATAGCGTCAGTAAAATATTTTGTACTTCATTTTTTTATCTGAAAAAGTGATCATGTAAGTAAGTATATATAAAAAGTTGCACCATTGTTTATTAATTCAGTCAATAAAAATTTTTCTCAAATATTCTTTTTGGGGAACAAGGCAGGGTAAAAACTAACTACATGTTTATTTTACAAAAATGTATTGAGTTCCTAAATGTCATGCTAGGTATTTGGTAAGTGATTGTGAAGAGACTCAATCCCCATCACCAAGGAGTATCAAGGACTTTCTTCTCAGTTGTTTTTCCTTTTGATGATATAATATACATTGATTTTCAAATACCCATGTTTTTCTACATGTCTTTTCCCTACATTTTTTCTTGATTAGTGAGTATATCAATAACCTGTGCTCAAATTTCTTATTTAATCTAGAAATGGTTGTGTGCTGGTATTTCTGTTTCTAATGCATGCTTTCTTGTTTTTCTGTGGGTGTGTGTTACTGAGGATTGAACCCAGAGGTACCCTACCACTGAGCTACATCCCAAACTCTTTATATATTTTATTTTGAGACAGGGTCTTGCAAGGGGGCCAGGCTGGACTCAAACTTGAGATTGCCCTGCTTCAGATTGCCCCCCTCCCTCCCTCCCTCCCTCCCTCTCTCTCTCTCTCTCTCTCGTAGTAGATGGACAGAATGCCTTTATTTTATCTACTTATTTTTATGTAGTGCTGAGGATTGAACCCATTGTCTCTAGGTAGGGGCTCTACCGCTGAGCCACAACCCCAGCCCCTGCTTCAGTCTCTTGAGTAGATGGAGTTGCAAGGTGTGCACCACTGTGCCAGCTCATAGTTCCAATATTGCTTTTGAAATACACTTATATACAGATAAATATATAATATGCAGATAAATATCTATACAGATAAATACTGATGTTTTGAATTTCAACCTCATTTGCAAATGTTTATCTAGCTAGAATGTATATTTTTGTATAGATGATCCCAGAAACTATGCCATTACTTTTGCCACCGGGCCAGACCTTACCCCATGTGGAAGAAATTCAAATTTTTAGATGTCATAAGCAATTCTGGGATCTGCACTTTACCATTAGGGTATTATGACCCTGTTAAGTCAAGTTTGGGCTCTGTCCGTTGTCATCAGTCAATGTTTACTGATTCCTGCTGACTAATTGATAACAAAAAGTTCTAAGACCTTATATCTAACCTTTTTACAGTGTTGACAGAGCCTTAAAGACTTTATCTGAATAACTGTGTGTGTTTTAAGTTATACAGCTCCGTCCTAGGTAACACAAGTACACACGGGGACCTTGAAGACCTGAGGATGATAGCCTGTCCACCAGCCCCATCCTAATGTGACACGTGTGTGTCCTGCCAATCATAATGGCTTCATGTCTTTGAACAAACATATATAGCAGAGTCACCACATAGGCAAGCATAAAACATTGCTGGAAAAACAGTGACAATTGGGAGGTATCTGAGAAGTAGTTCTAAGAAATTACGAACTGGTCTTTTGACCTGAGAAAGGATTTCAGGCTGTGAGAATTGCCCCATTTGTCCTCTACCATCCCAATTTCCATTTCAATACTTGGTAGCAGCAATAAAAAACATGTTTTAAGATTGTTTAATAATTCTTCTATGGCTGTTTGCCTTGCCTGCTGAATGTAAGCATTGTCCAGCACCATTGGGAAGCCTGGCTGCAAAGGGAGATAACTTCCCAACTGAAAAACTCCCCTGGGACTAGAGCCCTATGTGCACATGCATAGGCAGGAAGCCTCTGCCTTCTTAAGGTGAATGAGCTGGTGCTCAGGGCCACCTGTCTGGGTTCTCTGGGTGTTAGATTTGGTCAGTACCTGGCAGCTGACTTCTGATAAGAAAAACACCTCCCTGGGCAGAACCAGAACTGCCTCAACGAATTTCTTGCTGTTCATTTAATTTCTAGTTCGTGTCTGGCCGTTGCACAAGTAAAAAATATTGTCTCCCAAGTTTTTACTTACCCTCTCTCCCTTTCGCAATTCTTTTGCTTAACTAAAATCACTCTGCTGTCATACCTAGACCTGCACTCTTTGTGACAGCAGGAATACATATCCATTGCTAAGACTCCCAGACTTGTGTTCAGTGGAGATGGCCTGCACATGTGGATCCAACTTAAGTACAGCCATTGCAGCCACTTTAATATTTACATACTGGAGCAAAGAGCAGATGCACCCTGACCACAGACACCCACCATGAGACACAGAAAGAGGAAGAAGAAATCCACTAAAAGACAGAATAGGGTAGCCAAAGAGCAAAGGACCGAGGAGAAAGAAACTCGAAAGTGTTTATCTCATCTTTGAACTTCGTCTGCAGTGTCTGATGGTGCATTAATTTTGTCAGTCAGCTGGGGTTAGCAAGGGCCATCACTAAAGGGTTCTAAAAGTCAGACCTGATCTTTATGTCTTCTGCATAAAAATTACCAAATAGACCTGCATTCTATTAATGAAAAACCAAGACTGAGAATTCTGTTTTGAAAGGCCTTCTGAAGCAATCTGCGGTTTATTGGGGGAAGTGGGCATGTGCTTCCCTGAAAAAAAAAAAAATGGAAGTGGGTGCAGTACCAACATGTTTAGGGGGAGACGGAACTAGAAAAGAAGCAGACCAAGAACGGATGGAACTGCTCACTGGAAACTTAGAGAGCCATGGTTCTCAAACTCGAATGAAAGACTCTTGGAACACACTGCTGTGCCCCATTCTAGAGCTTTCATTCAGTGGGTCTGGCCAAATTTGTATCTCTGGTAAGTTACCAGATGCTGATGCTGTTGGCCTGTATTCCACACCTTGGAACTAGATAAGTGTACCAAATCACTTGTAAATTATGAATGGTGACATAGAATGATGATTAGGATCTTAAGCCATGATTGAATTTCTTCTATCAGTTTACCCTAAATAGTTATGTGAGGCTCTTGGCCTCTAATATCTGTAAATTAGGAAGTTGGACTAGATGGTTTCTAAGATTCTTTCCTTTCAGTTCTATAAGTTAGCATTGAATTAACTGGTTGGGGCAGAGGCCTGCCATTCGCTGTGTCCCATTGATGCTCTTCTACTGGACAGGCCCTTTGATCTCAGAACCCAGGGTCTGGCTTGGTTTGCCTCATTTCTTCCCAACACTTGTGGTGATGGCATTAATTTCTCTCCTTTTCTTCTCTGCCTTGTTTTTGTTCATCACTTCTAGGAAGAAGAGCAAAAGCAGGCAGTAAGTGCACTTCAGAATTCTCCTCAGGACTCTTGCTCCTGTGCATGTTCTTCTGTTCCTAATATAAATGTTGCCTCCTTCCCTCTCCCCTTCCTGCACCACATCATCTCTGAGGAATTGGTCATGTGTAAAAACCCTCAGTAGTTTCCTCCATGGTGTCTAAAATGGCCTAAAAGTCCTGGTCTTGTTTACCTAGTGGAGCATGTTCTTACTTGAAACCAGAGCTCGTTTAAATTTTTTTAAGTGCACATCTGCTGTGTTTATTTAAATATGCATGATTAGCCAGGCTATCATTGCATTTTCCTGCCCTTTCCTATTCTGCTCTTTTATGTCTAGAGGGACTTTAATTGCTTGAACCAACTTTCCGGGTGGTGGGGGTGACCTCGGGTCTAAATGCTGTGGCATGAATGAATGTGCATGGAAATGATTAGTTCTTCAGGTAACCCAAGGTGTCTGACAATCTTGAATAAGCTGCTGGACACTCCTGCTCCTTCAGCCCTTTTAACAAAATTACTGAGGACAACTGCACAGAAAGTGGTTTGCCGCTCAGAGCAGCTGCAAGGGGACCTTGGGGTTTCTGAGTTATGTGGCTGTCACTGCATGATGTTCAGGGAGGGTGGATGTTCTTCTTTTTCCTGATAGCCACACAAGAAAACCAACGGAGGGTCTATACACAGGAGTAACTTAATTTGTTTATATAAAATAGTCAAGTTTTCAGTGCATACATTTTTTACATAAGCTAAAGCTCAGTTTACCTCAGGGAAACTAAAACTCAAGACATATAAATGTTTACTTTAAAAATCACCCACTTTTTAAATAAAAACACAAACTTGTCCTCGTTTTAGATTAAGAATGTGAATATAAAACATGCTCATTTTTTTCCAGTTAGGAGAGCAGTGGAATCAGCACAGAGCAGAGGAAAGGAAAGGAAGAGCCAGGTGATGAGGGAGGGGCAGGAAAGGGGGGTGAAAACGGACAGCAAGTCAGGGAGAAGGAGGAGGCCCTGGGGGGAGCCGGGGAGCCACCAACCCAACAGCTTTAATGTAACAAAAACTGGTTTGGTTTTGTTCTTGCCTGGAATTGGTTTTGCTATTTCCCTGATTCACACAAAGTTTTCTCTCTTCCATCTTTTGGCACTTCCATTTACAAATGTACATTTACAAAGCAGAGGCTCAATCCCAGGCTTCCTGTGCTTCTACCAGGAAGTGGTATGCATCACTTCCCCTCCATTTCCTTGTTCAGAGCAAGTCACATGACCACACTTACCTTCATGGAAGGGGGCAGGGAGGTATAGTTTTCAAGTGTGCTTAAAAATAGGAGAGAGCAGAAGTTTAAAGCCCCCCTCCCTCCCAAGTAGGAGAGTGAGTGAGCTGGGTGGAGGGAAAGAAGCAGACCACTGATCCTTCCTCTCCTGTTCCCCTCCCATTTCCCTAGTAGTCTCATCCCCACTTTGCAGTATGGCCTTCCTGCTGATCCTGAAGTGTCACTCCCCCAACAGCTGCACCAGAGATGCACTTTACAGCTAAAGCTACTTGCTGGGAATCTACTTCCAACAGTCTTCCAGACTAGCATCTCCTGATTTCACTCTGTGAAAGAATTGGAAATGCCCTTCCATTATCTGAGACCTCTATTTCAAAGAGGGTAGACATCATGAATATTTATTTGAACAGTAGTAGTAGAGCTTCCCTACAGTATGTTTTTTTCAAATTTTATGGAATAACATGTAATCTAAGAATGCACCATTGTGGGTGTTTCTTAGGCCAAGTTAAAGCTAACACTGAGGGTTGGGGTTATAGTTCAGTGAAAGGGTACTTGCCTAGCATGTATAAAGCCCTGGATTCAATCCCCAGCCCCATATTAAATAATAATAACAACAACAATAACCTTGAGCAGAGAGAGAATTAAATTAAGCACACGCATTTCAGTGACCTTTCATTCTGCATGAGATCATCATTCTCTTAAAGTTGGCAAAATGGGAAATGGATTGCTGAAGACTGCCACTCATAAGCCTCTTGTGTCTTGGTCTTATGAATTCTCCACAGACAGGTTCCTGAGCCATGTCATAATCATCCCAGTCTCCTAAGTCTGTTCGTAACACCAATGGGTACAGATAGTTTTGTCCTCACTATAGATGGCTTTCGCCACCATGGTATGAGGTAGGGGATGCTGCACTGTTGATCTAGGCAGAAATCCCTGTCTGTCCACCTCACAGGCTTAAACTGGACCCACCTGAGGCTCAGCCCTGAGGCTCTAATTTGGACTAAATGACTAATTTTACATAATTTAGTGCAGTTTTTCACTTGTATGGCTGAAAGACTATAAAGCTTTAGAATAAGCCAGGCATGGAATCTCCTACCTGTAATCTCAGCTTCTCAGTAGGCTGAGGAAAGAGAATCACAGGTTTGAGGCCAACCTCAGCAACTTAGCAAGACCCTGTCTCAAAAATAAAAATAAAAAGGGCTGAGATGTAGGTCAGTGGTAGAGTACCCCTGAGTTCAGTCCCCACTTCGGGGGGAAGATATCCTTGCTATTTTGTTTTAACCCACATCATTGTAGAGTGAGAGAAGAAAAAAGTAAGAGTATTAAACACAGGGCTAAGATGTAACCCATTCTTTATCCCAGACTCTGGCTAGCATAGTTTGATTTTTTTTCTATCAAAATATATTATCTTAAATAGGTAATAAAGCAATTGTAGAAAACCTGTTTTTTTCAGGACTGGGTATTGAACCCAGAAGCATTCTACCAAGGAACTACATCCCCAGTTCTTTTTATTTTCTGAGACAGGTCTCACTAAGGTATCCAGACTGGCCTTAAACTTGAGATCCTCCTGCCTCAGCCTCCTGAAAATTATAGGTGCATACCACCACGCTCAGCTATAAGAGACTTTTTAAATGAATTTTCTAGACATGCTTCCAAAAACAGGCTCTATAAATACATTATAGTGAACTTTTAAGATAGCCCACCTTCTTCCCCTCTTCCCAGGGATTTACTATTACTACCATGATCCTATTTACATAACATTTCTAACATATATTTCATGCGGGTTTCATGCCACACAATCTCTAGTTCACTGCAGACACCAACTGTTAGTCCTGCAATTTAATTCAATTCTGACACTACCTGGAGTTTACCCAGAACCCATAGGTTAAGGACTCATCTCACAAGATTGACCCCTACTTCCGTCACCAACTGTAAGTAGCACACACTTATGTCTGATTTAACTGCAAATCATGACCCTTTCCCCAAGTTCAATAATTTGCTCTAATGGCTCCTGGAACTTGGGGAACACTTCACTTGCTATTAACAGATTTATTATAAAGGATATTATACAGGTAAACAGCCAGATGAAGAGGGCAAGGTCCAGAAGGGTCCAGAGAGCTTCTATCCCTGTGGTATTGTAGTTCTCTACATCCTGGGCTGTGAATGCCTTCACTAATCCCAGAGCCTCTTTGTTGAGGGTTTATGGAGGTTCTGTTAGATAAGCAGGATTGAGTAAGTCATTGGCTCTTGGTGACCAACTCCATCTCCAGCCCCTCTCCCCTCCTCAGAAGTCTGGTGAGGTTTGAAGGTTCCAGCTTTCTAATCGTGCCCTGGTCTTTCTGGCATCCAACTCCCATATTGAGCTGTCTAAGGGGCCCTGACCACCAGCCATCTGATTAGAATGTAAAGGACCCCCCTTCACCCTGGAGATTTCAAGGGTTTTTTAGAAGCTCTTCTGCTAAGAATCTGAGAGGAGAGATGTTTTAGTCCGCTTTTTCATTGCTCTGACAAAAACATCTGAAAGCAACAATGTAAAAGAGGAAAAATTTATGTGGTGCTCACAGTTTCAGAGGTCTCAGTCCATAGATGACCAAATTGGTTGCCCTGAGCCCAAGATGAGGCAGAATATCATGGCAGAGGGGCATGGCAGAGGAAAGCAGCTCAGGACATGACAGTCAGGAAGCAGAGAGACTCTGCTCACCAGAGTTTATATTTAGTCAAATATAAACCCCAAAGTGATGCTCACAGTGGTCTACCTCCTGCAGCCACACCCTACTTGCCTACAGTCACCACCCAGTTAATAGCTATCAGCAGCCAGGCACAGTGGTGATTCCTGTAACCCCAGCTGAGACGGGAGCCAACCTCAGCAAAAGCGAAGAGCTGAGCAACTCAGTGAGACCCTGTCTGTAAGTAGAATAAAAATAGGGCTGGGATGTGGCTCAGCGGTTGAATGCCCTGAGTTCAATCCCTGGTACCCTGGCAAACAACAACAACAACTATCAGCAGATTAATACGCTGATTAGGTTAAGGCCTTAATAACCTAATCATTTCATCTCTCAACTTTCTTGCATTGTCTCACACATGAGCTTTTTGGGGATACCTCCTTCAAATCTAAGTCCTAATAGAAGATCAAATGCATACTTACTGTCTCACAGAATCACAGATTGCTTTGGCTTTGCGGAACTTGAGAACAATGGGAATGACCGTTACTTTAAGAACTTTGAGGCCAAAGGTCGGGGCATAGCTCAGCGTAGAGCCTTGGCTTCAATTTCCAGCACTCAAAAACAAATTTTAAAAAACAAATCAAATTTAAAAAAGCTTTGTTGCCAGAGTTTTACATTCAGCCTCAGCCAAGTGCTCTGAGTGTCATCAGGACTGGTGGTTCTCTTGCCTTTCTCCTTCCCTTTCCCTTCTTAGATCTAAGGGTCATGATGAAGGGCAGAATGGCCTATGTCAGATAAGACTCCTCTGAGTATCCAGCCCACTCTGTAGTTTAAGAGGCTGGGGATTAGACTGTGTCAGATGGGACAGGATCAGTCAGGCTCAAGATCATCATCAGGATACAATTAAAGGACTTTGCTTTCTTTGCTCTTGTATCCCCAGTCACTAGCCCATCCTGTCCCATAGTAGATACTCAATAAATATTTGTTAAATGATAACCAGTAATAACCAAAAGCTGTATGAATTAATAATTGTATTAATTGTAAGGAACAAAACTGATTTTAAGTACCTATAACTAT